TTTAGAAATGGTTGTGATGTGAAGTCAATTTTGTTTTTGAATTATACAAATTGACAGCATTTTCATAACAACGGAAAGTGACATGGTTACTTTATTTTGGTATAGAATTAAACTACATGCCTGAGAAACACAAATTATTGGCCCTTTAACACATTGTTTGTGCACTTTGAGTCTCTAGGAGTGCAGCAATTTTGAATTTAGTCTTTCCCAATGCTGATATCTATATACATAGATGTCTTTATACTGTATTTTGTTTTGGTCATATTTTTCAACCCTTTTTTTAGTTTCTCTCTATTTTCTGTGATGTTTTCTAAACTATTACATTCAGGTTTTTGCGATGGCACAGATCTATAAAGTCTGGACTTATCAACTACAATTTTATGGGTAGGGCTTCATTCTCCTCTGGTTCTGGATCAGACTCTGGCTCTAACATGTAARGCTAGATGGACAAGTCTTCCCTTGTTGGCATCTTTTAATTAGTAAACAAAAATTAAAAGTAAATTAATAGTTTCTGCACCGCTATATGGTCATAAACCCCTCTATCAAATTACGCAGATTAAACTGCTGTGGAAGCCGAAGGGGGCAGAGTGTGAAGTGCCTCCTTTGGATTTAAAGAGACAGCCTCAAAATGAGTTGATCTGAGACACGTGTCAGAAAAGGCATGAAAGAGGGGCTTGTGGAGTTACAATAAGGAGGAATTCAGACCAAATTATTGCAGGTCCAGTTTCTTTAGACCCCATGATTTAAAAGTGAAGAAGTAAGATTTAAAAGCATAATTTGTATTCTTTCATGAATGTGCACATTTTTAGTTTGGTGGTTTTTGAGCGACTGGAGGCAGCTTAAAGAGGGGCTGGTCTTTGCAGCCAAATGGTGAAACTGTTTTTGGGAAAGAGGCTAATGCTGTGGAGGATGTAGGTAACAGATTACCTCTTACTTTAGTTGCATCTGAATGGAACTCTCAGGCTGGAGGTGATGYCCCACCTTTTTTTACCAGCTTAACTGTTGCCTCTCATTAATGATGCCAACCTGTGTGTGTCAGACACAGACCCAGGTCATTGTCCTGGGTAGCGCCTCCTCTACTTTCAGAACATTTTCATTGTTTTCCCCTCCTGAGCCGTTTAAGCAGATCAAAGCTCTGACAAAGGCCAGGGAAGCCCGAGGCAAGCAGAAGCACAGAATTATGCCCCCTCGGGATTCCCACACAAAAAGACAAATAAGCACCGGAGGGCGGCGCCCCAAAGGGATGTCTCTATTCAGAGCCAGTCTGCTAAAGAGGGTTTAATTGTTGTTTTAATATTTGCAATATATGGAGTTTGAAAAAGGGGTGTCGCTTTTTATAAATAAATTAAGCATCTATAATTTYAAGTTAAAAGTTAGTTAAATGTGCCACAAATCTACAGTTGTATTAAGCTGTTTTACATTGGGGGGGAAAAGTCTGCATTCATGTTGTTGGTTTGTAAAAGTTTGAGAAAAATGGGTGCAGAAAAACTAGAATTATCTCTTTGACTGGAGAGCAGGAGTAAAAGCACAAACATGGCTCGYGCCTTTGCCTTGTTTGAGCATTCATGGCGCTGAGTGATTAGCAGAAATAATGTCCCTGTCACCCTTTAATCACATTAAAACGTGGTTAACATTTAATTTTTCCCACTTGATATGCAAAAAATTTCCACTTGATTTGCAGCAAAGGCCATTGGAATTCCATTATAAAAAGAATAAAAATTTCAGGCATCATTTGTTCAGAGAGGGATATCAGGAGGAGAAAGTGCTGAATCTGTCTATTAACAGAGCAATGAGAGATGGCACTGAGTGCTGGCACATAATGTGAGACTGACAAGACGCACACACTGATTCTAGCTCAGTCTTGTAAAAGCTTTTGAAAGTGGGTCAAGAAAAGGCATATTTTGTATATATACTTTTCTTTGGGATGATGAAGGCAGATAAAGTGTGTCTTTTTATCTGCCTTATGAACACAAATGGAGCTTAAAGCAATAGTTTAGATCTTTGGAAGAGCTGTGAACAAAAAATGCTGTCGATGTAGATAAATCTTTAAACTGTCTTGGTTTGGGGAAAAAAMGCTTAAGTATGACCAAAATGACAAGCTAATGGCTGGTTCTAGAGGAGTCAATACAAAGTGGATTTCTGCCGTTATAAAACAACTCTTCACTTCACCGTATATATATCACAAAAAGTAAGCAAATTTGTGTTTAGATTATTTCTTTGTTGTAACAATGCTTCTCGGCAAAAAGTCTTATATCACTGGAAAGCCTGTTACTGTTTCTTTTAAATGGTGCCACATTTGTAAGGAACATGCATTTATGGGATGAGCAGTAGACCTGAGTATGTGGGTTGTGTACATGAAAAATTTGCCAAACAGCTTATTTTGCTGTCGCTTGTTTTGAGCTTCTGGTACCTCTTAAGTTCTGCCAATCAGAGGCACGGTATCATATTTATTGCCAAGAAGCATTCTCCCAACATAACAATAATCTACACAAACACAAATGTTCTTATTGTTTGTGTTAAATACATACATGTTTGGAAGTGCTGCAACTAACTGCTGCCATTGGAACATCACGATATTTCTGCAGGAATAAATGTGCAACCCAAAACTGACATTGGTGTAAAGGTTCATAAATTATTTCCTCAAATTCTAGTAATTCAAAGAGCTATCTATGTCAGGTAATATATTATTTGTTCACGTTTTTCACAAAACCCCACCTCTAAAGATCTCCTCTTCCCTTCAGCCATTAAAAGGAAGGCCACATGGTGCACAACTGAGTAGGAATTGGTCTTTATGTACAAAAATATTTATTTAAATATTAACATGAGCAGAATGACAGAAAGATAAATAAAATACAGAAAAACAAATTGAAGCATAGTTTACAGAACTATTGAATCACATTTACACATCCATTAAAAAGTAATTGGAAGGCACACATTGCTGAGCAGAATGAGGATGTAGCAGTGAAGCTGACAGAATTGGTTTTGGGAGTCGTTTTGACGGCGCATCAAAGCTCTTAATTGACAGTGCTTTGTTTCTGGAGTTGAGGGAAGGCGGTGTTTCATGTTCCTGTGGCAAGGTGTTTGTCTGCTCCTATGTCACTCAGTGCGAGGACCCAGAGACCCCCGTGCTCATTTGCGGCTCACATTCTCCGTCTCAGCCTCACATTATTAAAATCATCCCTCAGCCCTCTACCAATAGCCTCTTTGTTACTCGGCTGGCTTGGCTCGGCTCTGTCAAGTCTTCACCAATTACAGTCCCAGGTACAATGGTCTATTCAAAGGATCACAGCCCTTGACTGGTGTGGAGAGAGTGATTTGTGAATCATTATTCAGCCGCCTGTAGAGAACGCAATACCTGAGGAATGCAAATAACATGCCACCAAATAGACAGCTGTGCTGCTAAAAGTGACAAACTACAGCTGTTATTATCTCAGATTGGATTTTTCCCCCTCTTGGAGCTCTGTCCATCTTTTACATTTTGAAGCTTTTTTTTTCCTTCATCCTTTATTGGTGAGACTTTGGTTACCACCTTATTGTGGTGATACTCACACAGCAGCTCTCCATATGTAAAAAGAAATATTAGGTTATAGCTTTTAATAGACGTGCATCTGAACTGAAGGGCAAGCTGGGAAGCTAAAATTGTTGTAAAAAAAAGAACATTCAATCAAAACACAACCGTGCTATCCCTGTGTCCGTTACCCTGTCATGTGCTGTATTGATAATCATTAGGTGGAAGCAGCAATGTGGTGCTGCAGGTGATGAAGCGCTGACATTGTTATTGGAATGGATGTGATATTGGGGTGACTGGGTCCCTCCCAGTCTTTGATTCTTATGTGCTTTAAACAGGAAACTAGGATTACACATAATGACAGGGACCCCTTCAGAATCAATCCAGCCGAGGAGCTGCCGTGTGAAAATGGATTTGTGTGGCGCTGTTCTCTGCGACCCGTCCAATCGCAGCCTCGGAGCTTGTGGAGCTAATCTCATAATTGCTCTAACCCCCTCGTATTGTTCTGACTGAGACTTACCATTAAGTGTGAGGATATCTTTGTCCTACAATGTCAGGTGTCCTGCTGGACAGACACACACACACATACACACAAAAGGCTCAGGCCGTTGAGCAGGTGACAAAGACATTTAAAAGTAAGAAAACACTTAGCGATTATTTGTTCTACTCCCTCCTGCTTCTAGGTTGAATGTYTATTTAACCCTCAGCAGGTAAATGAAATGCCCTTCACAATAAAACAGAAAACAAAATAACTAAACTTTTTTGGGTTTTGTTGTGTTAATTGTATATGCTCCAAAAATACGCAAGTTTTCTCATTTTATA